CTTTCCATATTTAGTTTCTAAGTGACATTCCTAACTAAGGGTTAACAAATGACAATCAAGAAGAGTAATTTTTCAGTACCAAACCAAGGAAATAAAAAATAGTAGGTTGGCTATTTGTTGATAAATCTAACATTGATGAATATATGAATGTTAAGAACGTTAGAATATCTTCATTGTAGGAGTCTACCTGTGAATATCTTAAACATTTGGTGTCAAGTCAATACTTTGTGTATTACGAAGTTTGTTTTTGATTGGATTTAATGAAGTAGTTTTGATTTCCTTAATCAAGAATTCTATTTTGACTGTGTTTTCATAGATACAATTTAACAATTTATGTAAGCATAACCATGATTAGAATGATGGTGGGATCTACCAATTTGCATCTCGTGAGAGTAGAAGTAGTTGAAAGGACTGGAGAGGATGACGGAAGTGCTTGGAAATATGTCTTATTTGTGAATAGAATATATTGGACTTAACCTTTCTTCTATTCTAGTCCATTCTTGGAGAGGAAAAGATTGAGAACGCTTTGCAATCAATATTAAGAGGATTCCTTTACCTAAGGTCATTCTCTTTGGAGAGGGGATGAGTGGAGAGGTCAATGGGAGGATATAAGAAGAAAAAGATGCACTTGTTTCTTTTGGAATTAATACTTGCACCCATTGTAACTAACTGATCCTTGTCATCACGTGCAACTTGAGGCTCTTTCCTAGTAGATATTTGATATATGTAGGCAGCCAGATGAAGTAAAGAAGGGAAAGGAGCGGGTGGGGGGCTGTACAAAGCACAAGGGTATACAGCAAAGCATTAATAGGTTTTATTTGGACAAAATTTGGGAACTGGGCCATCACAGTCTCTGTTATGAAAACCATTCCAAAAACATTGACTGTGTATGTTTGTAAATCTCTTATAAGTTGTTTGTATCCAGGAACGTGGAGAATATCCCTTTAATATGGTTTAGAAACAAAGGAACATTTAGAATACAATATATGGAAAGTTTTGAATTTTTCATGGTAGTCATTTCTGTACGTTTGTCATTGTTAGAAAGCCGGGTGACCCATAATGCCAACATTGGCTCCTGCTTGTAAGGCATTTAAGTGATGTGTTTCAGTAGATTGGAAGACAAGTCATTCTCATTCCATACTTTAAAACTTGGCTCTCACATGGAGTGCCCTTTTAGCTTCCAGAATGCTGGGACCTTTTCCGTGTCACTCATTACCATATCCCTGGAGCCTAGAACAGAGCCTGTCATAAGGAGGGTGCTCAGTAAATATTTGTGAAGTGAACAAAAATGTTGGAATCTTCTCTCTTCTTTCCACTGGTGAAGATCTCACGTAACCTTTAGGGGCAGGGCCACTCCTGGCTTATGCTTTCCACAGTGTCTGCAGCCCATGATGAGCCCTTTGACTGTTAGCTGTTTATACCACATACTTTGGCATTTAATCTTTTCTGGCTGTATATTGTTACCTGTGTTTTGTATGTTTTGTTCCTCTCCCCCCAACCCCCCCCCTCAAAATATAGGCTGCTGGCGGCAACGAATATGTATTTATGCAGTATTGTTTGAGAATTTCCTTGTTCATCCAGTATGATAATATACACTGAGTAGGTTTATATTTACCTATTGAGTGAATATTAGATACTATGGGATCAGAGATACTCAAAATGTGGTATCAGCCCTCAGGTAGGTAGTATATTAATTGGGCAAGTATCGTGGACACACGTGAAACAGTATGAGAATTTGGAGCTAAATAAAACTAATAATAATAGTCAATATTTATGTAGATCTTAAAGTGTGCCAGATGCTGTCACAGGCGCCTTTACATGTTAATTTATTTGACTCTCACAACAATCCTTTGAAGTAGGTACAATTATAGTTTCATTTTTCAAATGGGGAAGCTAAGGTACAACAAGGTAATTAAGTTACTTGACAAAAATCACATCACAAATGATAAGTAGGGAAACACAGGATCTGAAGCCAGGCAGTCTGGCTCTTGAGTCAGGGTGGTTTCTCTAGGGAGTTTTACTTAATTAAAGAAAAGAGAGATCTAAAAGTTGACACTGTTTTCTCAGCTATAAAAGGTGCTCTTTTTTAAATTTCAGAGTAGTGTAAAAGATTGCACTGATTCTGAGCTGCAGAAACAATGCTGGATTTTCCAGGTAGAAGAGGTCGATAATGAAATGGTTAAGGGTGCACTGTATTTTGACATGACTAAAGGTGAGGGGAGAGAAACTGAATTTTAAATCTCAAAGCTGAGTGAGGATTATATGTAACTTTCGAAGGTATTCAATTCTAGGACAGTGATTCACCAGGACATAGGACAATGACTGTTTAAGACACTAATTTAGTGTCAGAAAACTAATGTGAAATAAAATAATATTGAATGACACTTGACATTTTATTACTTTTCTCTTTAATAATTAACTAGATTCAAACTCCTAACAGTGGTAATTTACCAGAATGTGAGTGTTATTGAGGATTTCCTGTATACTCTGTCCATTTACTTTGTTCTTATGTAAAATCTTGATCCACTTTTTCAGCTTGTCTTGAGCAATAGAGAGCCCTACTGGGGCCAGGAGGCCTCTTCAAACCAAGTAATATTTCTTTGGTGGAATAAACAGTAAAATTGTGCTGTTGATTTGGTAACAAATCTAGGCCGAAGTCATTTTGAAGCCATGAGGAATTAGATGAGGGTCTACAAACAAAATCCAGCAAGATGAAGAAAAATGGTATTCTCTGAAAGCCGTTTTGTATCCCTTTGTCAAGAGCTGACAATATTATTTTTGGGGTGCATCAACAGAGTCATTGAATCTAAGTGACTCCACAGATAAGGGAGTACATACATCAACACACCCACTCCCCAGGAATCAGAGGAGGAAGCGCTCTTGAATGAAGCATGGGCTGTAAACCTGGTTAGCAGCCAGGGAGGACACATGACACTCTGCAGGTATAGTATTCTGTGTTACAGATTGTTTCTGCTGGGTAGGAGGTCATGTGGTTTTGTCTTGGGGTGGCCTTGTTATTTGAGTCAGTGAAGAAATGACATGCTGCTGTA